GGGGGGGGGGGGGGAGAGAGTCATGCCATGCGTACCGCGTCAGGTGTCCGCCGGGAGCAAGCAGTCGCGTTCCGCATTCCATTCACGCGTCACGTCGTGTTATTCACAGCTCGCCGCAGCGATAACGCCGAACAATCTAAAACGCGAATCGGTACAATCGTTAATAACTCCACTTGTAAACGTCGTAGCAACTCGAAACAAAGATCATTGGAAAGGAGAAATCGCCGCGCTTCTGATAGATGTGAAATCGTCCTTCTGTGGAATACGAATCAAACAGTAATCATGTAAGTACAGATATAAGTTATTATATTTTCGTTTGAGTTGATATTAATCTATATTGAAAATCAATGGAAAATATTAACTTTCTTTTATATTATGATACAAATTACGATATATATTACGATACAAATATAAATAATGCGAAGTGTTCAGTTCTACATTTTTGACGGTATAAAGCGCAATTTAAAATAAAATAAAAATTATAAAAGTAGAGGAATTTCTGTCTAGTAGCGAGTATTTTTTACCGCAGCGTTGAGTATTCAAATAGTTAATAAATTTAGCTTCGGTAGAAACTAAGGTGACCAGATTTCCCAGCCCTGAATTCGGGACACTTCATAAATGTGTGAAGCGGGGGGAAAGGGATAAAAAGATCCGAAAATTATTCGACAATTATTGAAAATGATGACAAATCGGTGTTCTGACACTCGAAAAAATTCAGGACAAAGCGTGAAAAATCGGGACGTCTGATCACCTTAGCTGTGTATGTGTCAAAAAGGGAGGAGATTACTCCTCCCTTAATAATGTACTTACGATATGTTCTGACGACCGCACGTGTTTTCGGCACTCTAATAGTTATTTCCGCAGAAAACTCACAGGACACAAACGAAAGACGTATGAAATATAGAACGTTGTGTCCAGTTGCTCGGCATAAAAAGATCGTAGACGTGCGCGCTGTCAATCACATATACCAAAAATTCATTAGCGCGCCAAAAGTGCCAAAAGTGCGTTATGTGAGAACGCGCCAGTGATGCGAACGAGATCGCGCGTCTACAACGACGCGATCTGTACGGCGGACGCCTTAACCACTTGCTCGAGTTACTAACCACTCTAGACCAATCGCGTTCGTTTCACGTTACAAGGTTGTGATCGTGGTTATTCAATCTAGGCGTTGGTAATGAATCGCGCGAAATGCTCGATCTTTTCGCGCCAAGCAGCAGCCATGGATACACATCGATCCACATCGCTCCGCGTTTCTCGCGTCTTTTATCCATCGAAAGTGCGTCTCGCGCGTTAATAAGTGTCGAGAATGTCGAGAATAACGATGTGCGATCGTCGGGGCGTATCGTAAAGACATCATTTGTGAGTAATCTTCTCGTTTCTCCTCACGGTATATGCGGCCGGTGCTTGTCGCGACATGTCTCGCCGACGTCCCTTACATTTGCTAAAAACATCGCTCAAGTAGCAATAGAATCGGGCGATCATCGGATTTATTGAACGGAAATTAGAAATGTGATGACAATCGGAGAGGAAGAGAGAGAGATGCGGAATATTCGGGCGGTTGCGTCAGCTTGTTAGGAAAAGAGATACGGAGAGGGAAGTATCTCATAGAGCGCGTTCTTTTTGGCCACGGTGCCGTTTATATATTGATGTATATTTTCAGCGCGATTCAACAATCGCGCGACCATCTTGATTCTCCATCTTTCTGCATAGACCAACCGCCGTGAATACATCGATCGACATTGCTCCGCATTTTACGCGTCTTTAATCTGTCGAAAGTAAGTATCGCACGGAAATAAGTATCGGGAGTGTCGAGAATAGCAATGTGCGATCACCGGGGCGTATCGTGAAGACGTCATTTATAAGTAATCTTCTCGTTTCTCCTCGCGATATATGTAAAGTGACCAGATTTCCCAGCCCTGAATTCGGGACACTTCATAAATGTGTGAAGCGGGAAAAGGGGGGTAAAAAGATCCGAAAATTATTTGATAATCATTGTAAATGATGACAAATCGGTGTCCCGAATAACACTCGAAAAAATTCTGGACAAAAGATGAAAAATCGAGACGTCTGGTCACTTTAGTAGAAACGATATTCTATATAAATAAACACACATCATAGTTGCCACAGTTATATTTTAGCTCTCGTGACTAATCCTTTTTCTGCGTGCAAAGGGAGAGCGTAAAGTGGGAAGTTGAAGTTATTGAATCTCATCGTGTATCGATTTTCGTCGTTCTCCTCTTTCTCGTGAACTTCCAATTGTATACACGTGGTACGTTCAGCTGCTAATAAATTCGCGCCTAATCTTTCCGGCGAAGATTATCGAAAAACACGTCGCTCCAAATCGAGCGCCGTAAATCCGCAAGGACGGTAATGCGATCGAATCGCATGACGCACACGACTGTTCTTTATTTACGGAACTATCGTACGAGCTCCATGGTAATATTTACTCTTTCCTCTAAAGGAAAGAGGATTTCAACCGCGGACAACGTTGCCGTTGTTATTCTCGAGAGTCGTCATAGTGTTGTTGTTCGCTCCTTCATCCCTCTCTTATCCGTCGTACATAGTATTTGGCTAGGGGTAGTTTCAGCCTGCTACTGGCTGTGCGAGGAGTCCCTTTCGAGAGTCTGAAAATCTGTACTGTAGATGCACACGCCACAGCGTAAACCTCTTAATTGAGCAAACGAAAATGTAGTAATTTTAAATTAAATAGGCGCATATTTACATCTCAAGTCTATTAATAATGAAGTTGTTTTAAGTGAGATAGATTTGTACTTGTGTGTGTGAATCTCTGTATTTGATAGTTGTCATTTTGGTACGTATTGTGAAATTGTTCGGCATCAGAAGCAACCTTGTACGAGATGCTCGTATAAGAAAAGCAGAACTTGAAATTAAAAGGATGTACTTAACACTCGCGAATACACATCAAGAATATGATTCTTAATAGAAAAAATATTAAACGATTAAACGGTTGTAACTCGTCGAAATAGTGATATCGTTATCGTGGTTCAAAAGAAAAGAAATAATTGTCGTGATTATTTGCAAAATAGTACAGGGCTGTTTAGGTCAACTTCATAAGTGTGTTCTATTCGCACACAAGCATTGGTATGTGTTGTGTCTGACATTCTGTATACATTTGTAGTGAAAAAATATCATAAATTGATTCTGATCAGAATAATTCCGAATATTCCATAATACGTGCCCTGAAACTTGTCTCATGTAAGATATTTAAAAAGTTATTTAGAACTAAATCCGAGTTTTTTTTTCAGTCGAATTATGTTATATGTAATATTTATGTATGTAACTGCGATTTAATTGAAAAACTCTTATATCTAACTCTGAATTTAAATTATAATCTCACTTAAAACAAATTTAAAGTATATATATGTAACTATTAGTATAAACTTCAGAATTAGATGTAAGTTTCTTAGTTGAATTGCCATTACAAATATAATCATATATAATCGTATATAATCGATATAGTCGCACGTATAGTATGATTTAATTGAAAACTTAAGATCTAATTTTGAATTAAATCTGAGTATTTTATTTGAGACAAGTTTCAAGTAACGACTATCAATACAAACCTTGAACAACTCTTAGAAACAGAATAAAAAAAAGAAAGAAAATATAAAAGGCTAGTTCAGTTAAGATAATAGCTCTTAAGATAAAAAATGTCAGCGATATATTTTTTTATCAATTAATTATTGTTATGGCTAGTCAAATTGTCTGAACGATAATTCTGAATATTATCTCGCGACACACATATATAACAGACATGTCTTTTTATCTCGTGCATTCGCGAGGGACGTTCTCCTTTACAATCGTCGGCATACGTACCCAGGTACAATACGTAAAGTACTCGTAATCTAAAAGGAACTGCATCGTTCTCTAAGGACAGATAAACTGCGCCTTTCGACCTACCCAGGATCTATGTTGCCTTTAACTCTGCATTACCGGCGTACGTACGGTCGCGGGATATGAAAGTTTCATAACCGAGGGCGCCATGCATCGCGCTTCCGTTACGCCGCGCGTGGGTACTTCCGTTCGCTTTAATAAAATATTTTTATTTGCCGTAAAAATAGACGACCTCGGACGCGCGGATCGCTAATACCGTCGCCTCGGAAAATCTGACGTCGAGCGATAAAATGCGCGCACTTGCGTCACACGGCGAGCCGGTTTTTGTGCGTTACGCCAATTATAATAAAAAATTCGTCTACGCACGCCGCGCCGAACACGCAGTGTTGCATCGAGCGGAATGTTTGGTGACCGATATCCGGAGTCCAAGCCCTCGCATCGATCGGACGCGGATTTGCCGCGATCAAATAATTGATTACGCGTGTCGCGATGCAACGAGGCCAACGGGAGATCGGGTCGTTCAACCCCTTCCCCCCTCCTCTCTCTTTCTCTTTCTCTCTCTCTCTCTCTCTCTCCTTTCCGGTTCCGCGAAAAACCATCAATGACAGACCGTGTCCCAGGTCACGGAATGACGTCACGGCGGCGAACACACAGGTTAAGCGGAGAGTACATGAGCGTCGAGTATAACCGCGTTTACGCGTCGCGTCAGGTGAGCGATCTTATCAAAACGATACAATTGTTCGCACATCGATGGCAATAGCCGGGCCACAAAGACAAGTGGAGAGTTCAAACCCCCCCCCTCTCGCCCCCGGGCCGAACTAATAATGGAAAAGCTCGTGCGAGTTAGCGAGATCATTAAACTGCCGGTGCTGCTCGCGATATATCGGGCGCGATATATCGGGCGCGCAACTGAAGCCTAACTTAGCGCGAAAACGTTCAACTACGGTTAACCTTTCATGACACTTTGACCCCGAATCGCGGTCGCGTTCACCTGGTAACGCGCGCTTACCACCTTCTGGAGCGAGACTCGAATTATCGGCTGTTCATCGTTGACGCGCACGTCGTAGCGTTTCTCGGCGCGAGGAGTTACTTTACTTTTGTAGTCGTGGCCGTTCGCGTCGTCCTCCTTCACGTTTACATCGCGTTTACCCGATAATACTCGCGTACTGGAACGACGCGTAAATTAGCGGCTGCTCGCCGCCGACGCGCGCGAATCGTGATGTTCCTCGCCGCGAGTTTTTGTCGAGAACGCTCGTTTCTCTTCGCGTTTTTATTCCTTGCTCATTCCGTGTGTTTATGTTTTTTTTTCTGTTTGTTCAGGCCGCGTACCGTCCGACACGTCGCCTCGATCGCGGAAAATCGGAAGAGTGCAATTAAAAGTTGTTGCCGCCGTGAACTGGATTTAATCGCAATTGCGATCCGTGGTAGTAATTACGGCTCGTTCACCGGCGAATCGGTCGCCATTCGCTTCTGTCTTGATTTCCGATCCGGATTTCCTGTGATTTGCGTCCGCGATCTCGGTTTTCCGATAGATGGATGAATTCGAAAGATATTGTGTGTTCGACGAGATATGATACGTCGCGGATCTTTGATTACATGCGAGTATTGCGTTGTAAGATAAAAATATCATTGTTTGAATATTCAATCCTCGATATTTTTATTGTTTTAGTCTTCAAATACGAATATTTAAACTTTCAATAGAATGCATATATACATTCAATTACAATATATATTCAATATATGTATACATGCTCTCTATGCTAAAAATTTTAATATTCGCATTTGAAAACCAAAACAATAAAAATGTCCAAAAACAAAAATAATTATGTATAATTATAAAAATTATATATAATTATATATGGTTCATGTATGAAATTTGACGTAATATAGCCATATATATGACTATACACATAATCACATATAATGCATGTCCATACGGAAAAAAATGTTTATGCATGGAAAAATGAAAAAAATAGTTCTATTCAATTAAACATTGACGTCATAGGCTGTCACAAACATAAGTAATTATTTTAATTGTACAGTAGCATTTTTTACTATATATTAATATGATTATAATGATATGTGGTTATATCTCGTGACAACTTTCATAAATGATTATTTTTATTTATCTCATATACAATCATATTTTCATTTATTTACATATTTTTATTTATCTCATTTACAATCTGTATTACAATTCGTTAGATACGTAGAACTGTTTTATTGCTTCACGATACCTTTTGTTTGGAGAAACAATGCTTAAAAGCTTTTAATAATTTTCTCGCAATATCTGTATTTAATTAATTATAATTATGTTATATAATTATTATTTAAAATTGTATTGTTACATTTCTGCAATCAATAGCTATACGATAAAAAAAACAAACGATAAATGCTATCGCGCGGAACGCGTATTAAATTATTACATATAATTTATATATATATATATATATATATATATATATATAGTATCGTAATATTGCGTACGTTGTGTGATTAAATAAATCGTGTAACGGTACTGTTTACTGTAAGGTTCGGCGCGTTAAGAGTCGCTCTACCTTGATCGCGCGCGCGCCGGTCAAAACAACACATATATAAGTAAGCGTCGTACTTCTTGTCACACAGTCTCAGCCGCGAAAGTGTACACATCACGTGTACACACACGATGTATCCGACTTTTACGCAGTGATTATTTCGTGTATAAGAATTATTACAGTACTTTTCGCGTGCGCGCTTGTGACACTGTGACAATCATAAGATATGTGAGCGTTCTGTGATTTAAAGAGTACATGGAAAGAAAAGATTTGTTAATATGTGGACAACAAAAATATTAACTGCAGGAGCAAATTTTCTTGTTTTCATAGTAAATTTATTTAGTTGTGATAGCTAAAAGATTTGCTAATATATAAACTAAATCTTTGTTTGTTAGTATATTAAAAAATCTTTTAGTTATCATAATTAAATAACTTTTACTATGAAAGCAAGAAAATTTTCTCCTGCAGTTAATATTTTTAGTTGTCCATATATTAGCAAATCTTTTTTTTCCATGTAGCTATATTGTTAAATACACGTTGATTTTGTCGAATAACATAGAGAATACGCGATGTAATCTCGTTTTCTCGATATACCAAATATCTTCGTATCCTCGACTCGTCGAGACCGCGAGACCTCCCGTTCTCGTTATAATTAATTAGAAAAACTACTGTTTGTTTCAGATCTGGCGGAGCTTGCGGCCGCACCGTGGAGGCAGTTGCAGTTCCGGTGGATGCTGATGCCGCACCGGAGGATCTGGTTCGGGCAGAGCTGGGTCGGCTTGAAGGTACGTTCACGAAATCCTTGTGCTCCTCCACTTAACTCTTTGCGATCTAAAGTTGAGATATAGCTGTCAGTGTGACTTGAATTTCGATCGCAAAGCGTTAACCTGCTCGTACTCGTTAAGCCACACGTAGTCGTTCGTTAACCGGAATCCTTAAATCTAATCAACGAATCTATTTATTTTTGTTACAGATTTGGATACAGTGCGACGTGGCCGACCCTGACTTCGGTGAGTGCATATTAAAATTTAAGGTGAAGTTTAAAACAGTGTTGAATATTAATCGATTTTCTTCTATAGAAAATCACTTAGCAAAATTAATTAATCTATATATATATATATATATATATATATATATATATATATAATCAAACATGAATAATTTAATTGATTGATGAAATTAAATATTAATCAGTATAATCAATCATATCAAAGGTTGATTAATAATTTATTTCATCAATCGATTGAGTTGTTTGTAATTTTACATGCAGCTGTTAATGAATTTTGATTCCTAATTTATCGATTATTTTAGTTAAAGGACATTTTAATCGATTAATAGATCAACACTGCCTTAAATAATAGGAATTTGTTAAATTTCGTTAAAATCAAAGCGTTTTGCCTGTAGATTCTTGCTTCATGTTTTGTATGAAAGAAAGACACTACTCAAAAAAATTAAGCAATTATTTCCTTAAATATGCTTATATTATCTGGTAATAAAATTTAAAATATCAAATAGTTTTTTTTTTAATATTTAGCATGCATATAATCTTTAATAAAGATATTCATTTATACATTTGATTCTTTGATTATTTCACCTTTAGTTTCAATTCAGAATTATTCTACAATTATTCTACAATATTATTTATTTAGCACAAACTCTTAATTATTTTGAGTAGTGCATAATGAGCATTAAAATTGCTCCACCGCACGTTGAGCTTGAGATTACCTCGCTCGCGTGAATATGGATTGCGTGATCGCTGCGGTTAACAACTTATACGGGTTTTTGCGTCGCGATTGTGTTTTTTTTTTTAGATAAAGACGGATTTCGTGAGATTCAATTCGCCGAAATGTCGCGAACAGCTTCGTACTATAAAACTATCACGCATGAGAATCGTGACTACGTAATTCTTGATTACCTGGTTCACACTAAATTCACAGATTTTACGATCGATTTTCAATTGCTGATTTTTTTACATGTACATTTATATTATGCTCATATTGTACCGAGATTTTAATTAATATCTTTCATCGTCGATTTTTTATCCGCGATTCGCGAATGTGTTAAATGGCATGAAATGCCATGAATTCGCCGCAGCCCGAAATTTTCAGCTCGTTATATTTTTATATGCTATTCCCAATACGCGGATATATTTTCGAAATAATAAAAATAATGCCAAAATAATAAAAATAATAAAAATAATAAATATAATGCCGAAATTTACCGCTATAAACGTTTAGTAAATTCGTGTATCACGACATCGTAATCCGTTATTCGAGATTTGCAGGTTTCTTTTCAGGGTATGTCGATACTGCTCATTGATACCGTCGAAATATTCGCTGAGAAATAATCGTTAAAATGTAAACATTATTCGCGTCGCGAGTGTGTCAAAATGACATTACGAATTCGCTGGAGCCCGTAGTTCGCGATTCGCCATATTTTCACACGTGATTCGCGACTCGCGAATATATTCGCGAAAGTACTCCTGAAATGCCGGAACATATCGTATCGCAGCAGAAATGTGCTCAGTGAATTCGCGCATTTCGGCTTCGTTGCTCGTCAATCGAGTTCGCGGATTTCGTCGCAAACTTTTCGTCGACGCCGTCGAAATATTTGCTACACACCGTTAAAATACAAACATTAATCGCGTCGCGAATGAAGTGAAGTGTGATGAAGAGTAATCAGCGTGAGAGGTCGTAGGACGGAGGCTGGACATTGGAGGAGTTCCGGATGCGGAGCGACGCGATCGCAGGGATACAGCGACGGAGTTCGCCGGTGACTGGACTTGTCTGCGCATCGGTTGGTTTACACATGAGATGGTGAGTGTGAAATTTCAACGCTCCCAAAGCATTATCATGTAACGTAATGCATGCTGCAAAACGCTTTGATTTCCAACGAAAAAAATAGAGGTGGTGGTTTATTGTTTTCAAAATTGTATAATTTTACATCTCTCAGAGAATCATGTGTGAAATAATTATGTTATCTCCGATTGACTAGATCCGGATTATGTTATCTGGATGATTAACACTTAACTATTTGGACACTTGTCCTGATACAATCATTTTCTTGGATATTCTTATTTACATTTATGAAGCATAGAGAAATGGAAAAATTGTTATTACACTGAGAAGAAATACTTGAGAATTTATTTGTGTGGTACACAGTTTTATTTCTGTGAAATAAAGTCTGTTATTATTATTTCTGTGAATAAACTTTGTACCAAAAATAAATTTCTAAATATTTTTTTTCCATTTCATGGGTTTAATTTCATCCACATCGAGAAAAAATACTTGGAAATTTATTTGTGGAATATAAAATTTATTTTTGTGAAATAAAATTGATTTCTGCGAAATAAAATTTATTTTTGTGAGAGAATAAACTTTATATTTCACAAATAAATTTTCAAGTATTTTTTTTCTCAGTGCATAAAAATTGACAATATAGACAATTAATTAGTTGCCGCGGTTAACACTAAGAATCGCGAACGAGAACATATCGTATCAGCAGTGTCGAAATTTATCGCGGGCGAATAAGTATTTGCGGAAACGCGTCAAACAGCTGATACAGACCAGCAACGTCGGGGTGTTGAACAATTACGAGCGCGAGTCGCTCGTGTCCGGGGATACGTTGCAGCCTGTACACGTACGTGTTATATCAGTATACACGGCACGATGCGAGCCGAATCGCCAGCGTGTTTTCTCTGCCTGTGATGTGTGTTCCTCTCCACGCAGTATCCTCTTTTTTCCTTTTCGTCAAAATGACACTGTACAAAAAGTGGAGCAGATTAAAAAATTAAATTTCTTTGCGCGCGACACTTAACACGCTTGAGACTTTTTGTCTTCCATTAGCCTGCGTTCTTTTTCTTCGTGACATTACCGCTTGCCGTGCCGTGTCACGTCGCGTGCGCTGCTGCTAACCTCCCCCGGCGTTTTTTTTTTGCGATTACTCCCGTGCCGTTGTCGTTGTTCGAACGTAGACACGAAACGCGATGGTCGGAATGGCAGATTTTTTTCCCCGTGTCCGCAGGGCGGAAGGAGCCGAGGGCCACGTCGTATCCATGCACACGAGGGGGCGATATATCGGCCACATCGGTCGCAGGGGGTGGGTCGGGGGAAGGGAAGAAGAGGGTAGCGTGCGGCAGTTTCGAATGCGCGCTGTAGGTGCAACCGTGTGCAGGTAGGACACGCAATGCAGTTTTGTGGAAATTGGGTCAGCGAGTTTTCGGGTTAGAGAGAGAGAGAGACAGTAAGAGAGAAAGAGACGGAGAGCAGAGGAGGGACTGCGATGCGGAAAGACGAAGAGAGACGGGAAACAGGTTGGGGTAGGGACGACGAGAGAAACGATCGCGAGGGTGGAAGAGAGAAAGAGGGAGAGGGAGATGACGTTGAAAGGGTTCGAGGGGGTGAGCGAGCGAGAGAAGGGAACGGACGCGTAGCCTGGGTTGCTGGACCAGGGTTGGGAGGTTGTCGTCGTCGTTGGTGGGGGGTGACCGCGAGATACTGTGGATCAGACCGCACGAGGAGAACGCCGTTGCCGACGGTGAATCGAGGAAGACAGGGCAGACAGGGAGGGAAAGAGAGAGAGAGAGAGAGAGAGAGAGACCGAGCGGAGAGGAGGGCAGAGAGGGTTAAATGTATGTAAATTAAACGTCCCTCGACTTTATTTAGCGCGAGAGTTTAAAGGCGCGCATGGAAGTAACTCGCTCTTCCCGCCCCGGCGGAGTACTGTCGAATAAGGTACTCGCTCGCGAGTAGCGCGAGGGGGTTACGCTCACCACGCCAGAAAAGGGGTTGCATACGGCCGTATTCAGCGCTTGTTTTCTAAGAGCCGCGACTATAAATCCAGAGAGGGGCTTTCGTTCCCGATGCTCTTTGTATATAAAATTAGGTGCGCTGCGCCGTCGTCTTTCGCCTACGCGGAGTCGGACTTTGCTCGACTGGAGTTAAGCAGCGCGAAATGGAAACGGATTTCGCGATACATCGTGGGTTACTGCCGTCTCGCGTTGTTTGCTTCTCGTACCGCCAAGTCGATCTTCACTTCGCTTTGTTCGATTCATCTCGAGTTCAAAGCCGGAAGATGATCGCCAACCCTCGCAACCGAGAACGTCGGTACCCAACATGGTCAAATGGTAGTTCTCAGTTGGTACCTTGTGTGTTCACCCGATCACCTTCTCCATTCAAAGACGTATCGATGATGTCGAGATCGCGTTCATAGGATCGCTCGTCATCCGACATCGTCTCGAAGTACAGAGTTAGTAGTACGGGGCTCGAGTTCTCCGTCTCATTAGCGACGACGGAAGGACGACCGCCGCGTGTTCTGTAATTAACGTTTCGGGCCGCGGAATGGGGGCGCTCAGGGAACCGTGTTCGGTTCGACACGAATGAGACCGACCGGTCCTCCTTTGACTCGCGAAACCAGACCGGAAGTGAGCGGCCGCGCCGTCGGCTTCCGGTGCAAAACCGCGCTACCAGCACGTCATTTCGTCCCGCACAATGTGAACGGCGCGGTGGTCGCATTCGCGGCGCCGTTTCCACGTCTATCACGATAGTATTGTAATGGCACGATGAATGAGCCCACCCGCCCCCTGTCTGCCCGCCTGGCTGCTTGCCTACCTGCTTGCCTGCCTGCTTGCCTGCCTGTGCCGGCCGGCCCACGCCGACGGGCACGGCAACGATTTCGTGCGGAGCGAACAAACTTTCAAAGCGCTGAAATTGCGACTTATTGTGCCGACGCGGAAAATTGCGGATTTTATCTCTCGCCTCTGTGCGCGCACGCGAATTGTTTCGCGCCGGTAATGAGACGCGCGCTTCGACGAAACGCACCGTTGCTGTTGTTTTGCGAGCGTGCCTATCGCTGAAATTCCGCGCGCGCTGATCAACAAGCGCGAAGAAACGAGGCCGACCACGCTAGTGTGCGATCCGATAACGTAACAATTTCAATAGCGAGACGTGCGAATATTTAAGGTACATTGAAACTCGGAAAATTCGGACCGAAATTGGGAAACACGGAAAATTACCGCGCATGTGTAGCACACGTCCCGTCTGTTCCGCGAAACTTCGAGGAGACCGCATACTTTACTGTCCCCGCAGGACCATCTTGCTGCGCGACGACGCGCTCTCTCTCTATCTCTCTCTCTCTTGCGAGTCGACCGTGGGCAAGCCCCGTGTTCTTCCGTTCCCCTGGCACTTGGCCGAACTTTACGCAAGCCGAGGAGTCACGGACTTGCGAATTCACCGGTCGCGCATTACAAGCTCGCACTCGCTTCGTTCCGCCGGTTTCCCTCAATAATGGAGCGGGCCAAATGGCCTAATTTACTCGAATTGTCTAGTCGAGCAGTCCGGATATACATATGTGGCCGACACGATGGCCGTGACGATGACGATGAAGGCAACGACGACGCCTATGAGCGCGTCGCGCCGCGTCGCATCGCATCACATCGCATCGTGTTGGTCGACGGGGACAGACGCGTTCAGCACTGCGAGTTATGCATACTGTACACTACGTGTGAGGGGCGCAAACGGACACGTGCTGACAGGTATGCGCGCACGTGTGAGCCGCGCGCGCGCGCGCGCTCATCGTATCCCGAGTACGTCTCTTCATACCTTATTAGGCGTAGGCCAACACGCGGCTATACGGCTCCGTTCGAGCACTCTCCCAAATTGGGTCACTCGAGATACACGATGCGACGTGGCGTGCCGTGTATGCATGCGGGCACCTTAAATCCTAAATCCAACGTGACCGAGTATACCTTGGTTCGGCTTTATTTTCGATCCTTCATCTCGCAACTCCTCAACGATTTCCCGGTCTCTCTTTCTCTTTCTTTCTCCATTAATCTTTCTATTCTCTATTAATCTGTATTAGTCTCCCGCGTGCAATCATATTTTTTGGGACATACAATATTATTTGGGTCCATTAGACCCGATTAACTTTAAACTAATATAATTTCGTCAAGAATGAGTATTTTTGGACATATTTTTCTCAACATCTCAGATCATTTTTCTCAGACATTTCAAGATATAGAAAGATCTCAGTTATAGGATAGTGGCGCAATAAAATTGAAATTTGCAACCGGACCTATTCTGAAATTTTCCTGAAAAGTTGATGAGCGATACTCATTCGGGAACCAGCATTGCAGAGTTAACAACAATTAAAAATAGCTTTGTTCGATTCTCGACCAGCCGCGCGATTGTACTTGGCGACGAAATAAATTACGCGAGATATTACGTTACGAGATGGAGAATGCGCGCGCGATGGTACTAATAGCAGGTCAGGCATTAATAATGGAGACACCAACGTGGAGGTTTCGCAAGCGGTGATGAGTGGAAGGCAATTGTAAATGTTATCCTTTCGCACCGTGGAGTACCGCGAGCGGCGACGTACGTTAGCGGGTAGGATCACTTTTTGAACGTGAAACGAGAGTCAATATTAATTGACGTAGGAATTAACTGTCTTTGCTCGTCATTACGACCGCATGCGGCCACTTTCCAAACGGGGTCACCCGGCGAACATAATGCAATTTTCATTGCGAAGCTTGCGTGCCGTGCGCAGGCGGCTTAACGACGAAGCGAAGCGGTAAATGCTCTCTTTTTTTTGTCCCGCGGCGGTAAATGTTCCGCGAAGGGAAAAAGTCGCACTGCAAAAATAGGCATTAGTTAAGGTACGTTAATTTTTGCATTGAAAGGGGGTAACGACGCGCGCTCTCTCTTTTTCCTCTTCTCTCTCTTTCTCTCCCTCGTCTCGTAGGATCTCGAGTGCTATCGGAGCGCGGGCTATGTTTTTTTGTCGTTAAGTACTTTATATTTCGTCGATGAAAAACTCGCTTATGCAATGCGGTTTCGTGTACGGCGAAGCGAGCCGCCGCTCATTATGCGCGAGCAATTTGACGCAGATATAAATAAAACATTAAACGCGACTTCTCCCGGCAGAGGGAAGGCGCCTCCACGTGAGCCGTGCCGCGCACAATACGGCTGGAGTTATTAATTTAATTCCTCGCTCCGTTATGCGCGCGCTACGTTACCGCGAGTGCACCTCCATTCAAATTATAATTCGTGCGCCGAGACCGACATGCGCGAGAGCGACTCGCTCGGGGTGTCGCTTTATTTTTCAGCGCGCGGATCGAATTCTCGGCGAGCGTTC